ATTAAAAATAAAGAAAGCAATGATCTGGAATCGAAAAAAAAGTAAAAAAATAAATGTGTACATGATCGTGACGCGAACCATGGCCGTCTGTTTTGGGGCCGCCCGATTACCGACCGAGCTATTTTGACATTTTCTCTAGCGGCGAAATTTACCGTCATATTCGAATTATATTTTTCATTCCCTGAAAACAGGGATAAAAGGACATTTTCTAAAAATGAAACCTAGCTAGATCGATTTTTTCGCCCCCAAATCTATGCACATACTAAATTTCATGAAAATCGCTGGAGCCGTTTCCGAGATTCCGATTATATATATGTATATATATATATATATATATATATATATATATATATACAAGAATTGCTCGTTTAAAGGATAAGATATCGTAAAAACATACCCACTGTTTACTAACTGATGGGAAATTAGGTATACGCACCAGCCAGTTAGTAAAAACAAAAGAAAAGGAATTGAGCAATTGAAAAATAAAAAAAATTTGGAAGAACTTCATGTTGAATATTGGCTCGATGAGAAATCCACACTGACGTATCAACGCATATACACACCCACAAAATGTCTATTAATAAACGATGCGTGACGGGCTATGGATACCGTTGAATATTCTAATCTTTGTCATATTTCATTATTTTCAAATGCGATGCGTAATGCGAAAGTAAATTGAAATTGAAAAATATAAATGTATTATAATCAATGTGTGTACTATAATAGCCACTGCCTTAGTATATTACGTCAAATTGATTCCTCATAACAGAAGGAACTCTCCGTATCGGGGTTATACGGGCCATTAAACTGATAGTCTAATATTTCTCTTAATTTACTTTATTAAAAGGGAAATGCACATCATGAAGTGAATAAGATTAAAAGTAAGCAAACTTTAAATTATTTTAAGACCTCCCACTCCTCCTATAGATTAAAATAGAGACTAGACTAGACTCCCCTTCAAAACTACAAAAATAGTAAGTCGTTCGGATTTTTTTAAAATAAATATTTTAATTAAAATAGACTGAGTTATTGTCTTTAAAATTAAAGAGATAACGAAGAATCCATTTGTCTATTACTACATAGTTTTCTACATTATTATTTTGTAATTTGTTTTATCTTACGTAAGGCGGATATATGTATACCAGAACCCCCGCTCCCTTTGAGACAAGTAAGTTCGAGTGAGCCACAAAGCTTGCTTACGTAATATTTTCCGCCCTCTAAGTGCACGTTATTTAAAAAAAAAATGATTCCCTATTTAGCCTTTTTATTTTAAGCTTCGTCGGAATAATACGGTTTTTTTTTTAAATTTTTGTGACATTTCAGTGTATCATCTGTTTAATACCCACCACTATCTGTAATTACGAGAAGATTGACGTAACTTTTGATGTTTTAGTAATTCAGATGACGCATGTCGATACTGCGCGGCGTTTGAAAATTATTCCGCTCTACATCATGACATGTGTAAGTTAGTGTGACAGACGATCGTAACGTATGATACGGAAAGAGATAGCAGTCTACAGAATTGCAATATTATTACACCAATTGGCGTAATTTGAGCGCCTCAGTTTCGGTGCGCTAGTGTCATATCTACCTCGTCTTTGTATATTATATTATTGTTCTACAGCAATATAAGAATTACAATTTTTTTCCCTCTAAGACCTTGGGCACTCTTTACCCAAGTTTTTGTTAAACGTTTTCTAATACCCTAAAAACCAATTTGTTAAGATTGGCCGGAAGTTCTTTCGCGGTAATATTTTAGGTTGAATATTTTTATCGTGGGTTAAATCTCTTTAACTGAAACTATTTAAATAAGATTGATTGTGATATTGCTATAACGATAAACGAACGAAGACGCCGATATCGATTACTGTTTTGTTATTCATTAGGTTTCATTAAATTGTTTTGTTTTCCTTTTTTACCCATCAGCCCTACTATGGGATGAGTACCTTTGTTGTATGAATATAATATATAAACCAACCCATACTTGAATTTTGAAATTACATTTAAACCAATAAAGCTTTTTTTGTTTTATTGATACATTTTTTCACAACGTTCTCTAGTTCCAAACTAAGCAATGCTTGTACTATGGGTACTAGATAACTGATAAATATAATTAAACATATTTTTTTTTAAAATAAAGAAATACATATTACACATGTATGTCTATACACCTTCTGGACTGGAAAAATATTTTCATGACACAATATTTTCCAGTAGTAGGGATCGAACCCACACTCTTTAACGCAGGAGGCAGGTCCACGTTCCTTGAGAACTAAACTTGAATTTTAATTAGAGCTAGAAAACTAACTCTTGCGAAATGAGAAGAATCACTGAAGTATTCATGATTTGACATCTTGAAACATTGGGATCATATTTAAAAAACCGGTCAAGTGCGAGTCGGACTCGCGTACGAAGGGTTCAGTACAATTATCTATAAAAACGGCAAAAAAACATGTCGATTATATGGAAGCGCCGCTTAAATGTTTTTTAGTATTTGTTGTTTTAGGCAACAGACTACATCGCACCGTGCGTAGACTAACGTTCTGTGGTCACATAGAACGAATTTGATTTTATCGTCGGAAAGTCTTAATTATCGTCTACGCTTTCAGATAACATTTTATTTTTTTTCGTCTGACTTATAGATATTGAGATTCAGAATAGAACAACGTTCTATCTGATTTGCGCTCCGCAGTACAAGGAAATATGAACGTTTAGACACTGTTTTTTGTACTGACTAGACTAAACTTACTAATGTAATAGACGAGTGTAAAATACTCTATTGGAGTCAATTGATAATTATTGTACAGTCACCCACTTTTTTATGGATTTTTCGTTGAACACAGTGCTACATGCGTTTATGTCATACATATTTTCTGAGTTTTTAGTAGAACAACGTTTTAAATGAACGTGTGACCTATTATTTTTTGGAATATTCCGTTGAACAACGTTATATAAACGTGTATATATGAACTCGTGACCCATCAGTTTCTGCCATTTTCCGTTAGAAAACGTCACTATTACACAAGAAACCCCTTATTTCCTAAATTTATATAACTATTTATTCAAAAAGTATACTGGTTGTTTATATACCTAATCATATTAAAAACCTCAAAAATTGTAATAGCAACTGCTGTGTATAAGAAAACTATAAGCAAAATGATAAAATTATAATTTGAATCGGCCGTCCTGAACAATTACAATTTTGCAGATGTCACGTTGTTCTACGCAGGGTGCGACATCATCTGTGATTTAAAATGTCTTACTATCACGGTTCATGAGATACAGGCTGCTGACAGACGGACAGACAGACAAATAGACAGTCTTAGTAATAGGGACCCTATTACTAAGACTGTCTATTGTCGTTTTACCCCTTGGGCACAGAAGCCTAAAAATAAGCTCAACTCTTTTCTGTAGGATGGTTCGCAGCTAAGTATACAGGGCTCCCACGCCAAGTTCTTCGTTAGAAAGGGAAGAAAACAACTGGATAACTGCCAAAGACTATTGTTTAACTTTAACAATTTTCAATAAAGGGTTTACGTATTAAATTGTACAGACGGTAATAAACTCTAACCGCCATGTTAGCGTTTTATCGATTGTGTAGTCCGTTTTAGGGTGTGTGGAAATCCCCCGCGGCACCCACGCGATCGTTACGAATAATTTCAATACCTAATGCAACTAGCATAAACTCGTATACTTCGAAACTTAGGGAAGGAAGAACATGATTTTAAAATATAACAATCAATAACTGACTTTCTTTTCGTGGATAATAATTAAAAGAGCTCTAAACTAAAAGCATATTAAAATGTGCAATTTTTGAGCTATGCATGTTCCTCCTCATTTTTTTTGGCTTGCAAAATGTAATAAATATTCTATTCTATTTAATATATTTTGCATGTCAAAAGCATTTAATACATATAAATTTTTTTATGTGAGAAAGTGGCTAACGAGCTGGCGGTTCACCTGATATTAAGTGATAACCGCCGCCCATGGACATTTTCAACACCCTTAGGATTGCAAATGCGTTGCCACCTTTAAATAAAGTGGGCCCCGGCCGCTCAACAAACGAAGCGCACAATTGTAACACTTCTTATTTACATCTGTGAGGTCGTGGTACTTACCCGGACGGACCTGCCTATTCGTGCAACAGTGTTGCGTGGCCCTACCACCTATACCCTACATATTTAAGCACATAGAGAGCATTTATTCAAGACATCACACAACACTAATTTACAAATTAAACACATAAGTATAGAGTTAGCGTATACAAAAATAAAAAAATAAAATGGAAAAAAAAGAAAAACAAATTTTTGGGCGTATACGTAAAAATGCTCGAAGTTTGGTCGATGCACGAAAAGGTCCAGCTTCAGCATAAAAACTAAGTTCCTAAGTTCTTAAAACAGGTTTTCAGTCGGATCCTCTTCAGTGCCGTCAATAACGATCAAAAGTTAAAAAAAAAACTAAATATGAAAAAAAAAAAAGAATGTTTATTAAATATAAAGTAAGATTGGAATGTGTAAATGTGGTTATTACATTTTGATTTCGAACTAATAGCAAGTTTCAAAAACTAACCTGCAGAATATCATGTTGTATTTATTGTTTTTTCTCATAAAATGGCAAAATTGGCAAAAAGACAAAATCTTGTGAAAACTGAGAAGTCTGAGGTCTTAACTTGGCTCGAGTTATGAAAATAAGCTTGTGTTAGTAAGAGCCTAATCAATCTTAGCCTTGAAGATGCACATATTTTTACCCGGTCATGTAAACTGATGCTGGAAAGTTGTTCGCTTTTATCACTCCAAAAAACGAGTCAGTAGGACACGAATAAGTACTTATGTACGTTTGTCCTCCGTTATGTCACAGCTATTTATCAAAACAAAAAAAAAACAACTTTCAAAATTATATAGCTGCAAATACGCAGAACGTCTTCGTGATAACTAATAAAATATTATACTACTATAACTAACAAAAAAAACACATATTTAATCTCATCATGAACATTCCAGGACCCAACGAAACGAACGCGCCGCGCAACGAACCGAAAACAGAGCGTTCCGCACCGGAAGCGCACCGAATCGGTACGCCACCAACATTGGTACGACCAGTACCAAAGTGCCGAAGGTGTAGGTGCGAGGCGAAAGACCGCGGACGCTCGGGACCTGCCCGAACAAAACCGGTACGCGATGGCGACCGCCGACACAACGACCTCCAGCGAGGTGGCGGAACACAAGCGGACCGTCGACGGGTCATTTCTGAACAAGCTGAAAGCGCTCGTCGAACGGCTGAGGCTTGACAACGCCAACCTGAAGAGGGCACTCGACCTCGAGCGGGGCGAGGTGAGGGCGCTCAAGGCGCGGCACGACAGCGCGCTGCGACACCTCAAGACCGAGTGCCGGAAGAAGGAGGAGCTGCTGGAGAAGCAGCTGCGCACCGCCCCCAAGCAGGAGAAGACGGAAGACGGCCAAGTAGGCTGCAGCAAAATGGTCGAGCTGAAACGGCTGACCGCCGAGGTCCAGTCGTTGAAGTCGGCCAACAGGGGCCTTCAGGAGAAACTCAAGGTACGTTCTGTGCGTAGAAATATATATATATATATATATATATCATGTTATAATTTTGGAAGTAGGAAGATTGTCGTATAATGTTGGAAGTATTTAGATTTTTGCCTTTCGGCTGGAGAGTGAGGCAACCGGCCACAAACATAAGGGTTTGGGAACTAAAGGGCGGTAGGAAGATTTTGACTATTTTCATGGTCGTTCATGTTTGCCACTTTCTCATGAAAAAAGAAAGAAGATAATCCTCGAAGTTTTATATTCTTTATACTGTGAAATAGTTTATCTTTATGCGAATGAATATATCTGTTTTAATAATTATTTTAACACAATATCTCTTCTTTATTCGCTTATTCGTACCGATAATGTTTACATCTCGTATGTATTGACCGTATATGTTGTAGAAGAGCATTATATTTGTACACGATTATATTAATTTGACCTGTAATTACTTGCATTGACTTTTTTTATATAAAAATTATTTATTTATTGAGTGCCACAGCACAAAAAATATCCACAATATGTATATGTATTAGTAAGGCATTTTTTGAATAAATAATCATACGATAATGAAACTCGTCTTTAGTCATTGACTGGATAGGGAACGATACAATGTGCAATGTATTTTTTAAACGGTTTTATTTGTTTACCAAACTAGTAAAGTTTTAATATTAGATTCAAGCAATTATCCCGAACATTTAAATTACCGAAGTCTGATGGCAATCTTAATCACGTAAACGACACGGTGAAACGAGAACTCTACCACAAACACTAGTATACTAATGAGTATGCCGACAAGTAGAACTATGAATATTTCCTTAACATTTTCTACGCTCAGCGGCTTTCTTTCCTTGTTGTCGTCGGCGTAAAGAGCTTTGGCGTTGGTCTGACGCAGAGCGAAGTCGTCGGATTTACTCCAATGTCAGAGGACACCTGCCTGGTTCAGGTGATGCAGAATCTTGTTCAGCTTCGGCAGGAGCGGACTCCCGTACTTCAGCCCGTAGACGATTGAGCAGGGGACCGGGCACTCTTCGACTGTATGGAACAGCGGCCTTCCCTCCTCCATATTCGCCGGTTTCCCGCTGATGAACTGGGCGTCGGACTTCCTCAGCAGGACCGCGTACTGGAACTGCCTCTGCTCAATCGCCTGTTTTATTCTCATGTCGTTGAACACCTCCGTGCGTTCGGAAATCGCTTTGTAACCGTCCGGACCGAGGCTTCTGTTGTAGATGCGCATGTGGCGGTTGTGAACGGCGAACGTCAGGTTGGTCTCGAGCAGGTCAGCCAGCGTGTTTATGTCCGGCTTGTATCTCGGGTAGGCGATTGCCGATGTTATGATGCCCTGAAACGCAAACGGAAATTCTCGAAGTGATTTGGAAACAGAGAGACAAAATTTTGGGCTTCTGATTATAGCTATATACATGCTTTTGTTGATTTATTCAGCAGATGGATCCTTTCTATTAAAGTGAGATATGTTTTATTTAAACATTTTGAAATAGGTTCCAACCAGATGAGGGACGACCCCCTTTTAGTGAGCGCTTCGCTCTTTTGCATTTTACTTATTATTTTTGATCGTTTTCTACTGGTTCTGCATTTGTCGAAACAAAAATAAATTCCTGTCTTTCTATTTTTTCGACAAAATTTATCTATCTATCTTATCTTAAATCTAAAGAGTTAAGACCGTTAGCATTCGGTAAATTACATATAATGAAATACTTACATCGATTGCGCAATCAACAACCAAAGAGTATATCATTACGAGCAAAACGACGCATCGGAATATCGGGCCGGTGAATTTGATGTCGACAGTTTGCCTGATGAAACATTTCAGTAGATCCACGATCGTCGAAGAGGCAGTACGTCTGTCGTTCAATTTCCAAAGTCTAATCTCGGCCACTCGCACGAAAAATGCTAGAGTTACGAAGAAGAACAAATTGAATATGCAAAGTAGCAGTATGTCCACCGATATAAGATTCAACGTTGTGGCGAAGGTCGACTGTTTCGATGACTTCTTCACTAGAAAGCACAGCTCGTCCTGCATCAGAGGGTACGTTGTGTCGATGTAACCGTAGTAAGAGTTCTTTAGGATGCGCGAGCTTAGTTCCAGATCTGCGTAGCCGTCTATCAAGTCGGCCGTCACGCCGGTGGCCGTACCGTTCGGTAACAAGTCTCCGACAGTATTGCCATCCCTCGTGGGCAGAGGTATGCATGTGGCGTTAAGTATTTTCATCACTGTCTTCGCCAGCCTCGATTCGCAGTACACCGGGCCGACGTCGTCGCTCACATAGATCTTCCTAAACACGCTCAATCGCAATTCATGTCCGAAAAGATTGTTGTACTGGCCAGCCAGTAGGCGGCCAACGTCAGCGACGTCCGTTATGTCCAGTATCTCGTTCCTAAATGGGTTGTAGGTGTACACCCTCAATCGGCCCGAGTGCAGCACCATCACAGAGTTAGTGATGCTCCTGCTGAGCAGCAGCCGAAAGTGCAGCTTCATGTTGTAGAAGAAATAGCTGTCCATTTCCACGGGATTGCTGATGACGAATATCACGGCGCTCCTCGGCTTGAACACGCCGGTTCTTATGAAAGCTTCCATGACGAACTCGCTTCCTTCTAAAGACAGCTCATCTGACGTCACCACGTAAACGGTCTTCCCGTGCCTGTTGATCTTCGGCCTGACCTTGGTCCTGTTCGCGTCGGGACACCCGTTAAGCAGCATCACGGGGTAGCCGTCCCCAGAGTTCTCGGTGTACTTCAGGATCCTGTTCTCGAAGTAGGTGAAGTCGCAGAAGGTGATCGTGTAGAACCACTGCTTGAAGGCGTTGAAGATCTTCTCAACTACTTCGTAAGCGTACCGCGCTTTGAAGGACGTCTCGTTGTGGTACGCGGCGATCTCCTTGTATAGAACGCTGTCGGAGTTAATAGAGGTCGTTTGATGGATGATTGGAATGAGCAGGAGCGACGCTAGCAACATTGCGACGGACTAATGCAAAGCTCGGTGGCGTTCTGTGAAGTTTAAGGTCACAAGCCAGCTAGAGCTGCGAATCATTAGGCGTCGGATTAAACGTTCAATAAAGGCATGTCAATTAATGCCGCAGTGATAATATTTGCCGCGTTCCATTGTGTGGACTTTGACATCATTATGTCAACGAAGTTTAGCCAGTAGATAATGTAAAACAAGCAGGATCTTGATATTTTCTAGCGGGCAACTATTAGTTTTTGGGATTCCATTCTTACGGTACGGTTTTCGGTGTTTTTAAGAAGTGTTTTATTAGGTTCATTCATGTTTAGTATGTACTATAGTAATCGTATTTATAAGGCTTTTTCTTTCTTTAAATATTAACAGCTGTAGTCTAAGGTCCTAATTACAGTTAATTTTCATATTCATTCGCATAAATCTATTTTAAATTTTTTTCTTCTATCTAACTGGAACTAAATAATCTTTTTAATTTCCCTTAGCCAAGTGATTTGTAGGAAGGTACATTGGATCATCTCTACAGATATTTATTAATTTTTGTTTCACTTTTTTACAAATTTATTTAACGTTATGTCACTCGTTTCTTGAAATTAGTTATAGTTGCTTACATTGAAAATTTTTCTCACTATCTCCAAACGATTTGTTTTATTTTGATTTTCGACTTTTTTTTGTTGTTGTGAGAAGGCGAAACGAGCTGGCAGATCACCTGATGTTAACTAACAACGCCCATTGAAATTTACAACATCCGTAGGATTGCAGGTTCATTGCCACCCTTTCATAAAGCGGGCCCGGGCTACCTCACTCACCAGTCGAAGCGCAGAAGTATAACTACTGTGTCACTTCCACATCACGACGGGTTTCTGTGGCCGTGGTACTTACTCGGACGGTGCTGCCCATTCACGCAATGTTGAAGATTGTTCTTGTGGCCTTATCGCAGTAAAGGACTAGTGTCTTTGGCTTTAGTTTAAAAGTTAATTTCTGGGACGTGCCAACAGGTGGCGCAAGCGGCGGAGTGCGCGCGCGCCGCCGAGTTGCGGGCGCAGTGCGCGAAGCACGCGGCACTAGAGCAGGCAGCGAGGAGAGACGCGCGCGCACAGTGCCACAAATTGGTTGGTATTAAAATCTTCTTCGTCGTATTTTTTAATTTTAGAACGCAGTAGATTTTGAACGTTTTCTTTTATAATCTAGCGCCGGCTTATTCGTTACTTTGATTTGAATATTTAAAAATATTCCCCGATTGGCTAACAGTAAGGAGATGACTAAAATATGTTGTGATTGTATGACTGTTATGAAAGAAATATTACTTTTTAAAATATTTTAACAGTAATATAAAGTAAATAATAAGATCTGTTGCATAAATGTCTTCTGTAAATTGTAATATTCGTATTCGTAACGTGTACACGTACCTAACTAGGCTGTATAAGTGAGGTCCAACGTGCGAGAATCAAATTTACGACCTACGAAGCAGAAGCCAACGAGTTGCTATGCTCTCATGTAAGTTGCAAAAGGTTTAGGGCAAAATGAAACTGAATAATTGCTAGAAAGGTAAATACTACGCCATAAATTATGTAATGTAAATTGGTTGTTTTTTATGTGTAATTGATAAAGAGTTATATACGAGGTAGCTTCAGGGATGTCCAAGGGAGATGGCAGGATTGAGCTGGACTTCTTACTGTGCGATTTCGGAACTCCAATCTTATCAGTTATTTATTCCCATATACTCGTATAAAAGCGTCTTATAAAATGCCTTCTGCTGTATATTTTATTCCCTGTCCTTAAAGAATAATGCCTGCGTAAAATTAATAGCAATAGATTTTCGATGTTTAATTGCTAATATACTGCAAGGAAAAAGATAGGTAACTCTATATAATATACTCAGTAATCGGAAAAAAATATCAAATCAGACTGCAATTCTTAAAATAAACACAGCAGAAAAACCGTGCTTTCTAATAGTAACTGAAAATTTTTCCAATTAACAGCTAATTTGTTAATTATTAATGTAATTTTATATTAGATTAACCCAGATATTTTGCTTTTTAAAATCAATTACCTTATTCTGAAAGGAAATACGCGAGTTAAGATTTGTGACTGCATATTGTAGTCTAATTTATTCATTCCTTTGTTGTCATAGCGCTTACATGTTTTGTTTACACGACAATACGATGACAGCATCTATTATATATAAGTTTCCATTGTTCTCAGCTGGAGGAAATCAAATCGAAAGAGCGCGTGATAGTACAACTAAGAAGAGAGGCGGCGCGGTCGGCGGCCTCCCAGAATGATCAGGTAAGAGCTTTAGACTAACTTAACGCCATTTATAAATTTTATATTGGTTATTTTTGAAGATTTTGTCTTTTTTTTATGCGAATAGTGGACAAACGAGCAGACGTGTCACCTGATGCTAAGTGAATACCGCCGCCCATGGACATCTGCTACACCCGAGGGTTACAGACGCGTTGACAACCTTTTGAAAATTGGGCTCCGGCTACCTCACTCACCAGACGAAACGCGAAAGTATTTGTCATCTTCCACTTTACGCCGGACTTCCGTGAGGTCGTGGTACTTACCTGAACGGGCCTGCCCATTCGTGCAACAGCCGAGGCTGCAGCGTGGCCCTACCACCGTTAAATCTATCTCCGCTAGAGTGGAAGATAGAGATTACTGATGTGTATTCTCAAAAGCACGACAATACAAAATAATTGACGCCCAAGAAATTTTTCAGGCCACTGACACGTTTTACTTCACACCATTTATAAATATTAGTGCAACGTTTAAAACGTAACCATATAAGACTATTTTATAGTTAATTTTTCTATATTTGCTCTTATTCGTCTTTAATATAGAAATAAATATGAACTAAATAAACTAAGAAGACGGGTGGGTGTTATGACTTGATTTGTATGGTAAAAGTTATAGCAACAATACTGATATTGACATGAAGATAAGGCCATTCTATGTAGATCGGACAAATAAATAATTAAAAGGCTGACGGTTTAGGTTTTAAATGTTGGTAGGGCCACATAACAGTGTTCGCTGTTGCACGAATGGGCAGGACCGCCCGGGTTAGTACTACAACCTCACAGAAGACCGGCGTGAAGTAGAAGTGTACACTTCTGCGTTTCGTCTGACGAGTGAGGTAGCCGGGGCCCACTTTATTAAAAGGTGGCAACGCATCTACAACCCTAATACTAAGGGTGTTCCAACAATGTCCATGGGAGGCGGTTATTACTTAAAATCAGGTGAACCGCTAGCTCGTTTGCCGCTTTGTCACGTGAAAAAAGGAAAAAAAAAGGTGATACAAGAATACAAGATCTCAGTGTGTCCCGTTACCAGAAGAAGGTACCGAAATTTTGTAAATTTAAGTTTAAGACAAACAATAAACTCCGCAAAGCGTTATGCGACTGGTTATATATGTTATTACGTCTACGACTACAGTCACTTACGCTTATACTACGACTACAATAACTTATAGGTTATGTTTATAGGTTTAAGAAAAGAGAAAAATCAGGTACAAAAGAGATTCAGCGTGGCAAGTAAATCACAAAAAATTATGTACTCATAAATGTATTCCGACAAAATAAGGCCAATCAGTAGGCGTTTTAAATTGATCACGAATATTTATTGGTCATTCGTGATGGAATCTTCATATATAAAATCTGGCTTCATATATAAAAAACAACTAAAGAAAAAAAAATTAAACAAGGGCATTTATTTTAATTTTTGTGGCAGAACATTCACAAATTCTTATTTAGATAAAAATTATGTTATGGGTTTATTTATTTACTTCACCAACTAGAGACACATCGAAATATGGTATGGAATATAATAGGTACCTTTAACAAAAATAAATAAAATAGTATCTTAAATACAGGTGAAACGATATTCAGTAGTTATAATATTGACGACAACTAAATTAAGTAGCAAACTTAGTAAGTTGCAATATAAATATGTGAAGAATGAATAAAATGCCAACAAAAGATTATTGTTTTGTATATAATAGCGTGTTGTATATGTATATTGATATATAACTGAAATTATTATAATAGTTAAACTATTATTAGTATCATACGTAAAGGCGAAATCGTAATCATAATTTGTATAAACCAAACGTCACCTTCTGCCCTAACACCGTCTCCTTAAAAACCCCATAACCGTGCCTTTCTTTGTTTAAAATGCAGTCACTATTTTATTGTTTCTTATTATTCGTGTCCTGTCATATCGTGAGCATGTAGACATTATTTATTCATATCTTAGATCAGGTTTTACTGTTTCGAGTGACGGTCTGTGTTTACGGTTTCTGGGAAACAGATATCGTAATGTTGAGTCCACCTCGCGATCATGTGGACTATGGCTTCATGGTAACCGGTGGACCGCCGTGGCTTAGCGATTAGCGCAACTACCAATTCGGGAATTTGAATTCGATTTAGGCGAAGTAAATAAGGTTTCGTCATAACGAGACATTATACAACTTGATTTCACAAAATCAAGTTGTATATTGTTTTTTTTTAAATCGAATGCATCCGGTAGCTCGAATGCTTCTGGTAGCTCCACACTAGCTTTATTTATTGCCATTCTAATTGATTCGTTGAAGAAATTAGTTTCATTGCTAAAATCAACGTAGGTATATGGTTTCATTAGTATACACGAACATCTTTTCAAGGCTTAACTTTTCTTTCAAATAAGCTCCTACTCGCATCCACCTATTTCAACTTCTTAGAGATGGAATTATATAAAATATTTTCTCAGTGCGCGACTACGATGTTAAAGTGGTACCTTGACAAGATTGTTAATTCCTAACCTTGTCATCTACCATTAATAGTAAATATTGTGTCTTGTTTGAATCTTACAAAACATTCTTATTCAATTTAACACAAAGATTTTAATACATTATTTTAGTCATATTTTTAATACAAAATGTAAAAGTTGCCTTATCTAATGCTTTCAAAAAGTTCTAACATCTTTATTTGATACAGGAAATAGCTTCTGTTACGAAAATTCTGCGATGGTCGTTGGCAAACCACTATAACTCGTATAGCCTATTATTACAAAGCTTTAACATGGTTTCAATCACTGTTAGGGATGGCTAAAAAACATACTCCACTTAGAGTATGTTTAAGAATTTATTGACTCCTTCACTTCCCTACGCGTCACTCAATAAGCGAAATATAATGCGTTGACAGCCCTAAGGACTAAGTTCCTCGTAATTAGTAAGCATCGTTCGGAATTTAAAGCCACACGAATTTTCACGGCTATACTCCTTATAGTCGCTATGGAATGGTGATCACGACGTATCATCAATATTGTGGTAGAGCGAAGGTGAAGGATCTGCTGTGGCACTAATGAGCAGGCACGTCCAGAAAAGTACCACGGCCTCACAGAAGACCGGCGTCAAGTTCAAGTGCTATACTTTTGCGTTTGGTCTCGTCAGTGAGGTATCCGGTGCCCAATTCTTTGAAAGTTGGTAACGCATCTGCCACTCAGGAGTTGTAAATGTCCATGGGTGGAAATCACTTAACGTCAGGGGAAAAAAAATTACACCAATAAGATCCGTTTTGCAGCCTAGTAATTATTGACTTTTATTAAAAACTACTAGTTTAGAAGATTTAATAAGTACATACCTTGATATTTGCATATGTTTATATTTTTGTATAGTATATGGTGTGTTACTAATTTGTTTAAGTGACATAAATTCATATTGAAATTTTATTTATTGCACCTACCACGATTTCTCTCACGCCCCGGGTTGACTGGTATAGAATGCCAATAGACATTAAGTTCGCACTTTGTAACCCTTTTTGAGGTGTTTTTTTTAATAAAGAATAAATAAATGAAAAATAAATATTTACTATAATGTCAAGTAAGTAGTTTCATTTAAGGTCTTGCCTACGGATGAATGAAGATTGTAGAGTGGAAGACAGAAATTAATGAATTGCACTCTCAAAAGCACTTCAATAATAATAGTTAACGAACACAATTTTTTTAAGCCAAGTTCGTGTTTAAGGTACTAAAATTCGGTGTAGGGTTACGCGAGGACGCGGCCGAAACAAAAAGGCGATAATAACCGAGAGTCCAAAACACGGCGCGGGAGTTTGGAGCGTGTGAACCCGCCTTAGGCACCGAGGCAATTTCAGTTCGAAACTCGAAACCGATTTCGGCCGAGACGACCGCCCCCGGCTCTGTGCCAACATTATTATTGGATGGTATTGAAAGTATTATAACTTCTTAGTTTGAAATAATTGTACAATTATTGAAAATAGTTAATTAATTTCGAACATTACACATTACCAAATATAAACTGTTTCCAATCCGTGACAATGGACGCTGTAAGGAATTCGAGATGTAGGAAACGTCGTTGTCGATTAACACGATATATCCGAAAAAAATGTTTCATTTTAATAAGTATGTCATTTAAAAGTAATCTTTGCAATTCGTAAATAAGACAAATAGTCAATTGAAAATGGAAATGCAATGGCAGAACTATTGATCACTACATGTATGATTACTCCGTTGCGCAGTGGTCAAGGTCATTGGCTTCGGCGTCGGGGGTCGTGGGTACGATCCCCGCGCGGGACAACCATTTGTGTGACCCACTGATAGTTGTTTCGCATCTGGGCGGTGGTCCGTGTGCATTCCGTGTTCATTTTCCATATGTTTGTAAAACGTACTTATACACACGATAATGTTATCCTAAAGTAATCGAAGTAATGACGTTATTGTCGATTAGTTAATTTTTACGATGATCAGCGTTTCAGAAACCGGGCGTATGTGTCTGGCAGTGGGTGATCTCCCTCTGCGTGGTGGGAAATGTAAATATGTTACGAGGACTTGTAAATCTATCGTATGCTCTTCAAAATTAATCTCCATTAATGTGTATTCGTTATTTTATTTGTTAAATTGCCTCATTGTTCCGCTTATCGTCCAATTATTTAAAACGACGGACAATTTTAACGGGATCGGTGTTGGTTTTACATAAACGAGGAAAATTGCAAGTACTGCGTAGTTACGGCTATCAAAATATGGCGTCATACCACTTTTGTTACAACCCAACTTAAAAAACATAACGTTTCATTTGTATAATGATACGGCGTTTCATCTAGAAATAAAAAACCGGGCAAGTGCGAGTCGGACTCGCGCACGAAGGGTTTCGTAGTATCATCTAAAAAAACTGCAAAAAATCACGTCTGTGTGTTTACTCCACTTATTTTTTATCCATTTTTTGTTATTTGTTGTTATAGCGGCAACAGAAATACATCATCTGTGAAAATTTCAACTGTCTAACTATCGCGGTTCATGAGAACAGC